GTAGGTTGGTACTGGCTTGTTGTGCCCATGTGGATCTGCAGTGTATGGGAGGCCATGAGCTATAGCATAATGCTCTCTAAAGTATAACATGCTTCAGCTCCACAACATCTTCCACAGGCAGTGCGTTCCAGACTTCATTCAATTCCTGTGTTGGGCTGATTTCACTGACTTGCACTGACAGCAGCCTGCACAGATTTCAGCACCCAGGGCTTGATCCTGGGCTGGAGGCATACACAAAGACCTCCTGACATGCATATACATGACTTCCACACCAGCCACTGACTGAAGTCTTCAGTAGTTCAGAGTAGTATTGTTGAGCCCCATCTATCACATCTCCCAGCATTCTGGACGCGCTGGGTAGCCTCACCACGTCTCCTGAGCACGTCTAGCTTTCCGCCTAAACACAAGCAGCCCTCTGACTTGGTCAGGACGTGCGCTGTGTGCGCTGTCAATGTAAAGCAAGGTTTCAAGTGTCACGCTCTTCAAACAGCACCAGTGCGGAACAACTACAGCCCTTGTTAAACTTGTCGCGCGCCTCCTGGATTATAGACAGTACTTGAACCGATTTTTCTTGGTCTGCACTCTGTTTATTGCCGGCATTGAGGGGCTGGTCTGGTGGCAAAACTGACGCCTGTTCGAAATTCTCCTCCGCATGGCCGTCCAGCTCGATCAGCGTTGCGTCCTGCTATTCCACATGCTACTCTCCTTGGCACTGCTGTTATCAGAACTGCGATTGGACCAGGCCAAAAATGACTATTCATCGTAAAGGAGTTCGGATGAAACCTCTGGAAGAAGCCCACAGCAATTATTTGAGCTAGCGACTGTCTTCTGCTTCGTTCCGCCATGACTCTCACCTTGTGATCTTCAAAAATCGACAGACCGTGACGTTTTGTTCTTTTTCTCGAAAAAATTACGAAGCACCTAAGGTCGGTTTTCGCAGAGCGCGGGTCAAATATTGCTTTAAGCATTGCTTGGTATTTCAGAGTTCTGTAAACCGGAAAGTCTAACGACCAAAAAGTTTAACGTTTTTGTAATTTTGGCATGATTCCGTGCAGAAAGTGTAGCGATGGCTAGCTGGCCACCCATCTGTATGCGCATCTTTACACAGACCTCTAGCGATAACTTTGTTTCGAATAACGAAAAAATTGGCCGTTAAAACGTTAGACTTTGTGACTCGTCAGACTTTCTGGTTTTACAGTATATCGCCAGTTTGAATGCTCGTTCTGCACGTTAATGCTCGTAACCAAAAAGACAATTGTGGGCAAACAGGATCTGGAAGAACGTCATAAATTTCAAAATCGGGTGCAGCATATGACAGTCTGGCAAATATATAATTACTTGCGAGCATTCCTTTTGGGCTTCAATATCAGATTGATTGACGGTGAATGCACGTGTGGTGGGGTAAACAAATCAAGACTATTGACATTGTGTTCTGCCTCTCGTTGTGCAGAATATAGTATAGACCTCAGTTGTAAGCTCACAGCTCTCTACTCAGCTTCCCATGATTGTACTCTGTTTCGGTACATTTCGTATTTCAAGGCATACCCCGAGGCTATAGGTATCATTGAGTAAAGGACTATTCTGGAACATTCAGCATAATTGTATTTCTCTTGCTAGGCTGTTCATTACGAATCATTAGCCCTCCACTGTCTGCTATCTCAACCCCTACAGCCTCCCATTATAAGGGAACTCCCTTCAATTTAGACTACGTCTTTGGGAAATCCTCAAATATAATATAATAAAAAAATAAAATCCTGCAGCATTAGCTTACCTTCGATGCGACCTTTCAGTGTACGTTGCTGGATTTATGAGACTGCCGACTCGGGGAGAAGAATACTCATTCTGGAGCTGCAGATGAGGGTGGGATGTTGAGCACAATCTTCACAGACGTCTGCCAATTGACGATGTTATCATGATCTTTCCACCATGCCAGATGATCAACATTATTGGAAGCATCAACTGCCTGTTCACTATCCCTCTCCTGGTACTGCTTCTATGAGCCGTATAGCGTAACCTCTAGTTCATTAGTCCTTTTATTTACCATGAATATCAACTTTGTTAATTTCATATCCTTTCGTCTGATTGGGTTTGAATTAGACGGAATCTTATGAGTTGAATATACCGCGGAAACTGTGTACACTCGACAGACTCACATGCAAGTACGTGACAAATTGACACAAGGAAAATAGCGTAGAACGGAGGTGTTTAGAACCCTGCCAGACACAGGTAACCGAAGAGTCCGATCACTCACGAGGAGCAAAAAAGCACAAAATAGCTTACGTTTTAAACTCCACGGCAAGACTGGAGCAGAGATAGATATACTTGTAGGTGTGAAGTAGAAGCCAAGTGAACACCAACAAAATCATATCGAGCGTCTAAGGTGCTATAATTATAACAATTGCCAAGAGAACAAGACCACTGCTTCATGTCCTCACAAGTTAGCGACCATTGCTATCTGGACGGCCCAAAATGAAGATGGTATCAACTTCAGAAAGTCTGAACAGGATATGCCGATTTTTTTACTGCTAATGTACTGCTGTTCAATCTCGATGTGTGAACAATACAACATCAGTCTTGTGTCAGCTGGATATCTGCTGGTATTGCCCTATAGTGGATGCTGTGGATATGTCAACAATTTTGTCACTTTTTTTCGCAGTCAACATACCCGTACCGCGTGTGCGTGCATAAATTGAACATCCAGATCAGTTTTCATTTCTTTATGGAGAAGTATTGCTTTATGGAAAAGGAAAGTACATGCTCGTCAAATTGCAACAGTACTCTGCACGACACGAAACGTCGAAAGTACTCCGACGGCTTACAGTTACATGTATATGGAGCTTTGCCATAATTACTAAGTCGAGGAGACATTTCGGCTGCCTGCATCCCAGCGATAATGGACGAGAGTGGATTTGCGCCGAGTAACCAAGCCTGCTCCGCATCAGGGGCCGAGGCTTGCGAAAGCATTTTTGAAGATCACGTGATAGCACGTATGCCGGGTCCAGTACAGGAGGTGTTCTACCAGTTAGACCTAGTACAGGCGTTCTTCTTCCGTTTCCATGGCAACCAAGACGATATTGTTCTCCGACAGTCCTGTTCGCCGTACAATTACATGCTGTCACGTGACTCTATCAATCCTGGCACTACATTATGGCTACGCGGAAGGTCGGGTCGATGTGTTCTGGTGTCCAGTATACCAGACATCGTGGGTATATTATCATTGTTTGACGACCTAAATTTTACACAAAGAAGGGAGGTCTACTGGACCACGAATGACTGTCTTTGCAGTTCATTTGCTGCGGGATGTACACAGCCCTCCGAATGTACTGGAATCGTGAGGTTTGCTGTAGTGTACCAGGTAGCGGCAGTTTACAGCGGCTATCAGCTCACAATCCTACATATTTCTATCGATACTAGAGAGTTCATATGCCCGAAATTCGGCTTTACAGATGACAACATGGGGCTTATTGCCCTTAATCCCTGCAAGTATTTTCTCGGATATTTCCTGTTATCTATCATGTGTGTCCTGGGCTTGATTGAGAAGTCCTGATTGTCCTGAATGTCCTGTTAAAGTACATGTACATGTTTATGCATGAGCCATGCTGATGCTTGACGTCATCAGAGAATCTACATTGTAGATGGAAGGGAAGCATAGCAAGTGTGGACAAGTTAGCATGGAGTTTAGCATAGCGGATACAAGTGTTGTTTCGTATTGTGTCAAGTACCTCATTCTCATAGCGCGTCCGTCCAGGCTGTCGATATTCTCATCCTCCCGGCACACCCCCTCCCCGGCCTCTCACCGCCCCCCCCCCCCCCTCCTACACCAATCACCCCGGATACTCTGCCTAGGACCAGCGTACGTACAGCAGAATTCAGGCCCTGCTTTCCCGTAGGAGTTTCGCATTACGCCATCGCTGTCTTTTACCTCATAATTATCATGAAGAGTGGTGCACATCAAATATTGGCTAGTGAGCAACACTGCCTCACACTGCAAAACGTATTTTCACAAATTCATTTCAGAAAGAAACAAAAATTCAACTTTTCGGTCATAAGAATAACCATCATTAGGAAGTGTTGAACATTATTTGTTTTTATGTTTGTCTCCGCACCACACCTTTATTCCGTGGTAGTGTAGTTCATTAGGCCAGCCATCATCATGGATCCATATGTCAGTGTGTGTACCTTGCTCATAGTGCTTGGTCAACTAATCTTGTTGTTGTTGTTTTCTGGCTGTTTTCAGTTGTCTCGTGGCCTTGCCTGGTCCCGGTCTAGTTCTCTCTGATATGAAGCATCCGTGCAGCACTCTCTTCATACATCTGTTTGTGTGGGTGTCCACAGTCGTAATATTTTTGTTAATTTGTGTGTGGGGGGGGGGGGGGAGGGCGGGGGTGCAGTGGGTACGTATGAAAAGGGCATGGAATTATTTGACGCAAGAAGTTCTGGCCCAAAGAAGGCAATCCACCATATCCAGACGCCATCCGAAGGTAAACAACATCAGGAGTGTGCAATTTCAACACGTATGGTGTAGTTTCGGTCCACTTTGTGCTGCCTGATATAGGTCCACCTCACTTGTTTTTCTCGTCAATCCTGATCATGGCTCCGGCCAAGAATTGGATTGAGATATTGTAATTAGCAGCGAAGAGACCACTTGATTTACAGATGATGTGTTTTACATAATAGTTATAATATATTATGAACTGTGCAAAACCTTAAAAGATTTTGCACAGTTCATAATATAACTATTATGTTCTTTGTGAACTCGGATGGTGAGCCAATTTATTTATAAGTTTATTATGTTATCGTCCTTCACAAACCTAGCAAACACTCTGATATATGGATGTACATTTTAGTCATTTACAAGTATTGTAGGTTTCGTCGTTTTTTCGCAGCCCACCCGGCATCAGGCCGGAGTGGAGCCCTTAGGAGTCGTAGTGTAGAATCGTAGCTTAGTGTAGAGTAGGTGATATTTTGAGTAGCTGTCACACCCTGACCTACTCTCCGCCATGGACGAGCTGGCAGGTGAACCCCTGAGACTTCTGTGCAGTCTCCCAGGCATCGAAGCCAATGTCATCAGCTTGATCCAGCAATTGTCGTCGTATGTTAGTGAGTCTAGAGATAGAGAGGAGCGCGTGAAACGGCGTGTGGATGAGCTATGTGCACACGTTTCGGAGTTACGAGGCGAACTGAGCTCCTTGAGGCAGTCCGCCATTGCCCATGTCGACCAACAGCAACAAAAAGGCGAGGAGGTCAAGGAGAGTGCAGCTAGTAGTACGAATAGTACCCGTACGCTAACTGGAAAGTCTAAGCCGCGCGCAACTAGTGAAAAAAAGTCAAAGCAGCAGGCAGAACACGTGGGAACGCACACTGAACCCCGTACCCATAGCGCTGCCACACCCTGGCACGCAGGCAAGACGGTGCCCTCAGTGGACACGGAAACGGAGTACAATGTCATGTACTCTGACGCAGAGGGTACTGAACTCCTGCCAGTCAAGAACTCCAAACCTGTGTTCAGCACCATCACGGACGACTCTTGGAAGTTGGTCTCTGCAGGACCACCCAAGACCAAGCGCTCTGTTGCCTATGTGGGCAACATCTCCCCAGATTGCACAGAGGACCGCCTGAAACAGTTCATCATGGACAGAAGCGAACAGGCAATGTCAGGCTGTTCCATTCCCGTGCATACCTGCAGTGTACATGTAGGAGAGAGTGGACGAGTATCAGCCAGAGTCACTGTAGATGCCACCTCCATGCCTATTGTGACTGCCCCCAACTTCTGGCCTAGGCCTTTGTACTGCCGACCGTGGCGCTTCTCCAAAAACTCTGGTGGAAACCGCAGCAGCAACAGCGAAAACAGCAGCAGCAGCAGCAACGACAACAGCAGCAGCAGCAACAGCAGCAGCAGTAGCAGCGACAACAGCAGCAACAGCAGCAGCAGCGACAACAGCAGCAGCAACAGCAGCAGCACCGCAGAATCTTCCGCGCCACAGGCAAACACCACTGGCAACGCAAGCAGTGCAGACGAAAGGGACAGTGAGGATGGAAGCTCTGCCGATGCAGGTACCTCGAGTCGAACTCCAGGGATGAAGGCTCGCTCCCACCAGCGAGATTCACCACCTGCAGACCAAGAAGCCAAGTACTCTGTCGCAGTTGGCAATGCGTTTGCACCCCTAAGCCGGTAATGACCAACAAAACCCTGAAACTGTTCGTAACAAATGCCTTTGGGCTAATGAGTAAGTTAGATGAATTCCGCCATGTGCTCCATGCTGAATCCCCAGATGTTGCCATAGTAACAGAGTCTAAGCTGTCAGAGGCTGTGACTCAAGCAGAGTTGACACTCCCTGGCTACTACCAGCCTCTGAGACGCGACCGAAACCGCCATGGTGGCGGGGTGGCAGTTTGGGTGAAGGCCACGCTAGCCATGAACGAACTGGATACCATTGATGTCTTCGGCCAGGAGCTAGTATGGCTAAACGTCAAACTGTCAAATGGCCGGCCTGTGGCTATATGTGCTGCATACCGTCCTGGAACGTGCTCAGACACAGACACCAGCATCTTCGACGTGATCTGCAGGGGCCTCACCTCCACAGCCTGCCGCAACTCTGCTGTGATAGTTGCTGGAGACTTCAATGTACATAACCAAGAGTGGCTCCACAGTAGCAGAACAACTAGAGCCGGCGAGCATGCAGAGGACATGTGCTACATGCACGGTCTTGAGCAGCTAGTCGACCAACCAACTCGTGGCCGCAACACACTGGACCTGATTATGTCCGACCTACCCGTAGAATCATTGGCTACTGTCTTGCCACCTCTTGGCAAATCTGACCATGCCTGTATACTTGCTGACTTCCAGATCCGTGCATCACGCGAGTCTCCCATATCAGAAACAGTATGGAGGTATCAGCATGCTGATTGGGCCAGGCTCCGTCACTTCTTCAGAACCACCAATTGGGCAGCTATTGCTCGGACTGATCCAGACCTGTCATGCACTGGCATCTCAGAGAGGATCCTGGAGGGTATGAAGAGATTCATCCCCTCTAAAATTCTGAAAACCCGAGCATCAGATCCTCCATGGTGGACCCCTGAGTGCACTGCTGCCACAGTGAGGAAACGACGTGCATGGAGGTGCCTGAGAGACGACCAGTCTGACCACGATCGGCAGTCAGCCTACCAAGATGCACGGCTCTCAACGATTGCCTGTCTCAAAACTGCCAAGAGTGCTTTCATGGCGAAACTGAGACAGAAAATGACCTCAAAGCAGCTGCCACCCAGTGACTGGTGGCGCACCGTCAAGCGTGCCTCTGGCAATGGGCGTAGTCAATCTGTTCCTACATTACGTGATCCCGATGGACGAGAGTACACAGCCAGCGCAGACAAAGCAGAATGCATGGCCCGCTATTTTGCAAGCAAATGCAGTCTCGCACAAGATGACCTGTCCGCCCCATTCCCATATGTCAGACCTCGAACTGACCAGGCTCTTTCGGACGTCCGTTTCCGCGTCGCTGCTGTTGAACGCACCCTTCGCCAGCTCAACCCATCAAAGGCAACCGGGCCGGATAGGATACCGGCACGAGTGTTGAAAGCCTGCTCTGCTGAACTGGCGCAACCGCTTCCCATACTGTTTACCCAATGCTTCCAAACTGGGATACAGCCCAAGACATGGAAGATTGCCAACATAGTCCCTATATTCAAACGGAAATCAAAGTCTCTACCCTCCAATTACCGTCCAGTTTCGCTCTTGTGTATTCTGTCCAAGGTGATGGAGACAATCATCAACAGAACAATCACAAATTTCCTCGAGACGAACAACGTCTTCTCCACCAGACAGTTTGGATTTCGCCATGGTCATAGTGCAGCCGACCTCCTTACCAGCCTCCACCACCAGTGGCTGCATACAGCCGGGGAGAAAGGCGCAGCACGCATACTCGCCATTGACATCGCCGGTGCGTTTGATCGCGTATCACACCCCGGTGTGCTACACAAGTCCGACGTATATGGCCTGCGTGGGCAACTGCACCAGTGGCTCAGCAGCTACCTCAGTGAACGCTACCTTCAAGTGGTCATTTGTGGCCAGACATCCTCAAGGCTCCCAATTCAGGCTGGAGTCCCCCAGGGCAGTATTCTGGGTCCGACCCTCTTCCTCATGTACGTGAACGACTGCGAGGACCACGTACCAGCCGGTGCTGACCTAGCCTCGTTCGCAGACGACACTACGCTGTATGCCAATATCACCCCCACCACCCAAGAAGATACCACCCAAGCCCTCCAGCTAGCAGTCAACAACATCTCCCGCTGGGGTCAAGAATGGAAAATAAAATTTGAACCAGCCAAATCCCAGGCACTGACCGTCAGTTTCCACCGCACCCAATGGGACATGCCACCGATTGACTTCAACGGATCAAATGTGACGGAATAGGAGGAGCTCAAAATCCTGGGCATCAGTTTCGATGGTCAGCTTACCTTCCGGCGCCACCTTCGTACCGTAGCCCTCCGGGCAACACAGCGACTTGGTGCTTTGCGTAAGGCTTTCCACCTCCTAGACGTGCCCGGTCGCATCCAAGCCTACAATGCTTTTGGGCGCCCAGTGATGGAGTACTGCCCTATTGTCTGGATGGGAGCGGCCCCATCCCATCTTGCAAGACTCGACCGTGTGCAAGCTCGGGCCATCTGTGCCATCGCCCCAATGTGTTGGCTGCCGAGTCTTGCTCTTCGTCGGATGGTTGCAGCACTTTGCCTCCTGTACAAGATGCATTGTCCGGATGCGCATCCCCTTCTACAGAGGATGCTGCCACCCCAGCAGCCCCAACACCGAACAGTCCACTCCACCCGTAGTACATTCCAGAGATGTAATGCTCACGCACACCAACTGGCCAATGAACTTCCAGTCCGTTCCCGAAACAACCTGTGTCGAGCCTACCCTCACGCAGTTGTCCCCGTCTGGAACCAGCTGCCCGCCGGAGTCTTCTCTGGTCCTTTCTGCACCAAGAACTTGCAACACTTCAAAGTTGCAGCCAACCGCTATTTGAAGACCAACGACTGGTCGTGGGCACATGACCATCTCTGATCATCAGCATCATATCTGCCTCACCCCATGACTTCCAAATTCCGCTCCACATACTATTCCCAATAACGTCTGTTCTTCTTTTCTCTCCTTCTCCTCCTAGCACTGTCTTTCTTATCATTCCCCTCCTTCTAATGTACTGTCTCTCCTCCTAACATTTCGTATCATGTACCTGTCACTCCTTTCATTTTTCTTCTCTTTTTTTTGGTGCGTTTTATGTCCCCATGACGTCGAGACCTCAGGTCGGCTGAGGGCAAAAAGCCTCACCATCACTATGCTCCCACTATGCAATTTTTTTGTCTTTGCCTGTGAGCTGTGATCATTGTAAAAAAAAAATAAAAAATAAAAAATAAAAAATTGTGAATGCAGCACAGCGGCAGTGGTGATGAGATCAAAACCTGCTCATCCTACCATACGTCTCCGATTCCTTGCTGGCTAGGTGCAGTGGACTAGAACAAACTGGAGGGCGAAAGAGAAAATTAGTGCTAGAGCATGGCTGGCCCCAAGCGGGTGTACCAGATGTTGAGAGTCAATTTTGTCCTTGAACGTTACTCCCTTGCACCTTTACAGCAAACCTATAGAAGAGAAAAGCATAGTTAAACTGTGAAAATGGAGGACTAAAAATCAAGGCCTGGTGTTTGAGTAATTGGACGATTCAATTCGTGATAATGGTCGTTTTGTAAGAGGATTCACACAGGATTACGGGGTAGGCAGCACATAGAGATTGAAAATAATGGTGTGACATTTGAAGCGATATTCCGCACTGGAGACGGGCAACGTTACAGTGGGCACACGCCGGCACAGATATTACACGGACTTCAGCAGAAATCAGAAGTATAACACAATGTTATGCATCTTTTATGCATCGATATATCTAGCGTATAGCGTGCTATATGAAAATTGCCAACTGCACTAGACTGGTTCATGTATTCACAAGTTGACGACTGTTGCTAACGGGACGGCCCAAAATGAAGATGGTATCAACTACAGAAAGTCTGAACAGGATTTGTTGACTGTGTTACTGCTTATGTGCTGCCGTTCAATCTCGATGTGTGAACAATACAACACCAGTCTTGTGTCAGCAGGTTATCTGCTGGTATTGCCCTATAGTGGATGCTGTGGATTTGTCAACAAGAGCATTTGTCACTTTTCTTTTCGCAGTCAACATACCCGTACCGCGTGCGCGTGCATAAATTGAACACCCAGATCAGTCTTCATTTCTTTGTGGGGAGGTATTGCTTTATGGAAAAGGAAAGTATGTGCTCGTCAAATTGCAACAGTACTCTGCAAGACACGAAACGTCGAAAGTACTCCGACGGCTTACAGCTACATGTGTATGGAGCTTTGCCATAATTACTAAGTCGAGGAGACATTTCAGCTGCCTGATTCCCAGCGATAATGGACGAGAGTGGATCTGCGCCGAGTAACGAAGGTGACGCTGCATCAGGACCCGAGTCTGGCGAGAGTATTTGTGAAGATCCTGTGATAACACGCATGCCGGGTCCAGTACAGGAGGTGGTCTACCAGATAGACCTAGTACGGGCGTTTTTCCTCCATTGCCAGGGCAACCAATATCATATTCTTCTCCAACAGTCCTGTACGCCGTACCAAATCGTCCTGTCACGTGACTCTATCAATCCTGACACTACATTATGGCTACGCGGAAGGTCGGATCGATGTGTTCTGGTGTCCAGTATACCAGACATCGTGGGTATATTATCATTGTTTGGCGACCTAAATATTACACAAGGAAGGGAGGTCTACTGGACCACGAATGACCTTCTTTGCAGTTCATTTGCTGCGGGATGTACACAGCCCTCCGAATGTACTGGAATCGTGAAGTTTGCTGTAGTGTATGAGGTAGCGGCGGAATACAGCGGCTATCAGCTCACAATCAGACATATTTCGATCGATGCTAGAGAGTTCATATGCCCGACATTCGGCTTTACAGATGAAAACATGAGGCTTATTGCCCTTAATCCCTGCTCGTATTTCCTCGGATATTTCCTGTTATCTGTCATGTGTGTCCTGGGCTTGATTGAGAAGTCCTGATTGTCCTGAATGTTATGTTAAAATACATGTACATGTTTATGCATGAGCCATGCTGATGCGTTACGTCAT